TGTACATAACATGTGAAAAGGTTGATTAAAATTTGGAATTTTGGAATGACGGAAACACTTTATTTGAATTTGATGTATAAAAAAATGCACTAGAGTACCATAATATTCAATCTATGAACCAAATTGACTAAGCATGACCGCGACCAAGAATTCTGGAGTTGCTTGATTATGATCATTTTTAAGCTTTACACCAAGGTGTCATTATGTCTAGCTCACGTACTAAAATTTAAACAATTACAGGGGTAGATATTAAAGAATATATATATTCAGAGAGTATACAATCATAAAGAGTAGACAGATTTAACACTTACTGCTGTTTGAACAAAGTTCATTCTGTTTTCTCTCCCTCTTTTCACAAAGTTGAAGACATCAATACATCCCTCAGCCTTGGCCATTTTTAGCATAGAATCAATGGATATAAATGATCCAGTTCGACCAACACCAGCACTGCCGAACAATCAAACATGTTGTTTAACTTTTAACATGTGGTATGTGTTTTATAAGAAACAAATAAAAATTATACATGGTAGTAGACAAAAAGAGCATCTCATTTTATACAAAGCAGATCAAGAGAAGTACACAATAGCAAGTATAGGTAGACTGAAGTTGATATTAGATTAAAAAACATAGTTAAAAAAGACTTGCCCTGTATATGTTCGGGTGGTTAGAACATAACAAATGGTTGGGATATCATTACATATGTGGGACAGGTCACAACATAAGATGGAGAGATAAAGTACAAAGGCAAGGGGATGTCACTGCATAAGGTGGGTAAAATTATATCATAGAGTGGGGAAGGTCATCTATGCATACATATATTGTGTTAAGTTTGATTTTAATCACCAAATTAGAATGTAGGAAAAAAAGAAGTAACAATTTGAAGTAATTCAAAAGCAGGTGTAATGTACGTATTATGTACAGCAACACAGAAACCAAAGTTAAATTACCTGACCTTTATATTCACAAAATTAATACTATTATTTATCATGAACTTCAACAAAGTTTACCAATCAACCTGATCAGATTAGTTAAATTGCTAGAAATCATGATTACACAACCCTCCCTATTTAAATTTGTTTAGCCCTAACTACCACCACTGTCCACAATCAGCAAACAGATCTAGTAGATATTTGTTAAACACTGACAAATTAATGACCAAAATGTTAAAGAGCCCCCTCTATCAATAACAATAGACATAATAAAACAACGCTGAAAATGTAATATGATCAAGTAATAAGGCACTCTATGAAGTGCAAATTCATTGACAACACACTGTATATATCACCTACCTACAATGTACTACCATAGGTCCACTCTTGACATCATGAACTGAATTAATATGTTGCAATACAGCAAGTACACCAGTAGCATATATTCGGTACACCCATATCAGGCCAGACAGTGAAATGAAACTGTTTTACTTCATGTTCCTGGTCAGAGTTCTCCTGCACATAAAAAAGGATACATATACAACATAGTATGAAAGTGGTGTCACCTCAAAATAAAAAAAAATGGTCAGCTATATTACTGTGTCAGCAGAATACACGTACTTGTTTCACATTGATTGTTCTCAGGAAGTAGTCAGGAAATTGTTCAGATTTCACAAGCGTTACAGATATGGAGCCATATTTCTTGCTGCCCTTGTCTGGCCAGTACTGAATACACTTGATCTAATGTACAATGGGAATGATTAATGTTAAAAAGTTTTAGAATGCAGTAGTCCTGTTTTAAAGCGTGTGCTCATTTGCAAATTAAATGAAATAGTGTTTGTTGGTATTTCTTCACCTACATTTTGAAAGTTCAACATCAGTTACTGTAGATCTACACATACCTTCCCACCTTCTGATAGGTTGGTTGCCATTAAAATTGTGGCAACATTTTCTTTTAGTACCATTCTCCAAAAGTCTTTAATAGTTATATCATTTGTTCCTAAAATAATAATTACAATGATGACATAAAGTTTACAGTGTTGTGTAACTTACTTCAGTTTAAATAAATAGAATTGCAGCAACACATTACATTTAAAGACACACAGGAACATGTACATTGACAGTACAAATCAAAGAAAGCTTAGAAAGAACTCCCATATGGAGACACATTAAATATAATTCGAAATTACTTGTACTGAAAGCTGAAAACTAATTATGCAAATCAGAAAATTAATATAAACAGATTTGAGTGTAAAACTAATGAGGTCTGCGCAATGTAACAGAAAATCTATGTACCAAGTTTTATCGAAATGTGATTAGAACCAACAAATTATGAATTATTATGCTAATTAGGGAATTAATGTGAACAGATTTTTATCCAAACTAATAAGGTTTCGACATTGTCCTAGAGCATCTTTGCACTAAGTTTCATTGAGATAGAGTAATTAGTACTTCAGATATCAGTGTGATAGCTTAAAATGTATTAATTATATGCAAATTAGGTAATTAATATGCACATATTTTAACCCACAATTATCCAGGTATGTCCAGTTACTAATAAAAATATAAATTAATCCTAAACTAAAGTATTGCGTTAGTGGTCCCCATCGGTTTCTGAATACGGCACTGTTGTCATTGAATCTGTCAAAATGTTTTTTCTAAATAAAACACTTTTTTTAATTTTACAAATGAATAGTCTGAAAGAGGATACTTTTCCGTCTTGTCTACAATCATATATAAATTGTTTTGCAATGATTATACTGTAATTCAAAATAGTCTGAGGATCCAGTAATGATAATATCATTTTTCAACTGTAAATGCATGTTACTAGGTTTGTTCCACCATTTGACGAAGTCTGTCTAAAACAATTTTACAGGGGTGCAATCTCAAAATGTTTGAAAAACAGTTTTACTATGCACATTGCAAAAACTACACTTGTCACTATTTTTAATTTTCCATTTGTGTAACCAATAATTAGCAAGAAAATTGTATCCTGAAAAATGTTCGTGTATGAATATATTGCTACTACATGTGGAAGCTGAACTATTTCATCGCAGTTAATATTTTTATTTTCAAGATACCAACAGAATTAGAATATCTTTGTTTCAGAAGTTTCAAGGAAATGCGATTTGAATGCATAGATGTTAGTTGGATACTTTGTCGATCATTAGCCTGCAGAATTTTTGTTCGTTTTGCTATATTGATCAATGAAACCCAAAGACACAAATTATTAAATTTAACTCCTCTTTGTACCCATATTTCAAAAGGAACTATAACACCGTTACTGTAAAACAAATCTTGAAAATACCATATTCCAGCTCGTATAATGCTTCTGTTGAAGATCGGCTTATTATTAATAAGTACATTTATATTGTTCCATACAAAGCAAGACTCGCTACCAGAATGTGTTTGTGACCGGGAAAATAACATTTCTGTATAATAAATTGGTAGGTCCTTAAAATATTTAACATCATAATTACATAATAAAAATAGTTGTAAATTACCATATTTATGCATATAATTGTGGAGATATGAACAATCCTGGTAAGACACTAAGTGTCGTTTCAACCACATGATTTGTGATGATGCAATCATGGTTGGCAAGTGCGGAGCTCTTGAACCACCCCCATCAAGATCCAGATTAATACATCTTTACGCACCTTTTCGTTTTTGTTAGCCCAAATAAAACGGAAAATAATGCTTTTCATTTGTTTGACATAGCTTCGGTTTTGTCATTATTAATTTTAAGACCAGACATTTTTCCAAAGCATTTTATCACGGAAATTAACGGTACTATCCGCATATTGCGTCAATTTGATTACATCATTGTGAATATGAATACCTTTAATGCCATTGTTATTTCTAATTGCAATCGCCATAAGTTAGACTGCGATCAAAAATAGGTAAGGCGATAATGAATCTCCTTGTCTAGTGCCTCTATTGATATTAAAAAAAACAGAGCTAACCCCATTGTTCATAATGCAACTAGAAATGTTTTTATATATACATCTGACCCAGTTAATGAAGGATGGATCAAAATTAAATTTCTCGACCGCCGGATTTAAAAAAGAACAATTAATCGAATCAAACGCCTTCTGGAAATCTATGCATAAAAGAACGCCGGGAATGTTATTATATTTGATGTGGTCTAAAACGTCCACAATAGTACGAATCGTTTCCCCAATATAACGCCCCTGAACGTAGGCAATCTGGTTCTCGTGAATAATGTGAGGTAGAAACTTGGATATCCGTTTTGCCTGAGCCTCCAATCCTATCTCATGATCAACATTTAAGAGAAAAATAGGGCGCCAATTATGCAGCTTTTAACGGTCTTTTCCCTTCTTGTCAATCAGAGTTATTACAACTTGCTTCCAAGAATTACCAAGTTCTCCTTTTGTGTGACCTTCGTTCAAACTGTCAACTACAAACTCTTCAAACCAAGACCAAACCTTTAAGTAAAACTCAACAGTAATACAATCATTGCCCGGAGAGGTGCAGTTGGCAGTTCTTTGAGTGCACAAAAACACTCCTGAATCGACAGTTTGCCTTTGCACAGATCGCGGTTCGATAAAGATAATTTGGGGATTTTATAATTAGACATAAAGTTATTTAACGAATCGGACATGCAGGGATCTCCTGCTTTGTAAAGGTCAGTATAATACATTTTGGCTTCATTAAGAATTTTTCCTGGATCATGATGATTTTTTTTTTCAAATGGCAAAAAGTACCTATTACTTTTCCCCGTATTCATGCCACTGAGCTTGTGCTCGTAACATTAATTCGTTCATTTTATAATTTTCAATTTCATCTAATCGCTGTTTAATATTAGTCATTTTGGTTACGATTTCCTCACTGACCTTACTGTCATTTGAGGAATCAAGAAACAATTCTAGATCATGATATTATGACTCTAAGTTTAATTCGCTTTCTCTCCTGTGTTTAGCCTTTTCTTTGGAATATTTTTGACTGAATTGTCTAATTTTGTATTTCATAATTTCCCATTTCGTTCTTTTATCCGTGATATTCCCGAATTCTTCTCGCCAACCACTTTTTTTCCCGCTCCAAGGCGTTAATATACTCTTCTTCATTTAATAGAGAAGGGTTCATTTTCCAGTACCCCAACCCCTTTTACAGTGATCCAAATGTTTATCGCAAGGGTAATGAGGGAATGGTCAGATTTAATTGCCGCAAGAATATCAGATGTCCCAACCAAATCTTGGAGATCCTCAGAAGCAAGCCAATAATTGACTACTGTGAACGATCGGACTGCCACCTCTCCAGCTATATCCCCTAACAAATGGATGTTTATCTCTCCAGATGTCTTGCAACTCAAAATCATTGATAATGACTTTTAATTTAGCGCATGTTCTATCTTTAGTCCCCCCCCATCGTTGTTACTTCCCCCCTTTTTGTCAATGTTTGGATTCAGCACCACATTAAAATCCCCACCAATAATAATTCTGTCTTCGCTAGTAAAATTACATTCATTCATTATATTATAAACATCAGTGAAAAATTTGATTGACCTCCAAATTGGGGTAGTAAATATTGACAAATGAAAGGGGCATACGCCAATTTCAAGACGCACGTAGATAAACCGACCACTTTTGTCAACAACGGAGTTCTTGACACTGATGTCAAAATGTTTTCGAAAGACAACCATAACCCCTCGACTATGACTGTTACCATGCAAGAAAATGACATCACCACCCCAATCATTCCGCGAAGTATGTTCCACCTGTTTTGTACTGTATGTTTCTTGAAGAAAAATTATATCTGCCTTTTTTTCCTGCAGATATTTCAAAAACGATTTACGTTTTTTGTTGGAGTTAAGCCCTTATATTGAGGGAAAGCATCTTGAAATTTAAGTTATCACCCATTGTCATAATTTATGTAGCAAGGAAAATATATTGAAGCCACTAAAATGCCCACAACTTTGCATAAATAGAAATAGGTACTGTTGACAAAAACAAAACAAAAAGAAAGGAAAAGACATAAGTAACACAAACTGACGAAAAACATACAAACGTAGACGTCCATACCCAAACGCAAACAAAAGACATTTGAATACCTCACAAAATAGTGCTCTCACAGATGCGTAGTAATTAAAATACTCAACCCTAGGATAGGAATGTCAAGCCTTAGTTACAGTAGTTTTTCGTTACTTTATCACATTATGTCTTGTATAATTGTCTCTCAATGAATGATAAGTACAGTGATATCAGTAACTTAATTATGCAAATTAGGTTATTAATTTGCACAAATATTTATCCTAAAACTAATCAGGTCTCTGCATAGTCCTAAAAGATCTATGTACCAAGTTTCATTGAAAAGTGATGATTAGTACTTCGATATTTAGATATTCATGAATTAGATATTCATGGAAAAGCTGAAAATTAACTAATTATGCACATAAGTGATTAATAACCAAAAAAATTTATCCCAAAACAATCAATCTCTACATAGTCCTTGAGTATCTAAGTACCAAGTTTCATTGAAATGTTATGCTCACTACTTGAAATACCAAAAGCTGAAAATTAATTAATTATGTAAATTAGGTAATTAATATGTACTGATATTACCCTAAAAACTATCAGGTCTGTGCAGTGTCCTATGACAACTATGTACCAAGTTTCATTGAAGTGTTATGATTAGTACTTGATATATTAGTGGAAAAACCGAAAATTTACTAATCATTATGCAAATTAAATAATTTGTATGCATGGATATTTAGCCAAAAAACTAATCAAAACCTAGCATTAGTTCAGAGCATCTATGTACCAAGTTTCATCAAAATCCAATGAGTGGTTGTTTAGATATCGATGGAACAGTCATGGAACAGCTAACAATTAGCTAATTATCATGCAAATTAGGTAATTAATATGCATGGATTTTTACTGAAACCCAATCAAATCTGCGCATTGGCCCAAGGCATCTATGCACCAAGTTTGATCAAAAACCGATGTATGGTTCTTGAGATAGCAGAGGAACAGACAGACACACACATACAGACACACTAACTGCAAAGACTCCCATTGTGTGCTTCACACATGGAAGTGAAATAGAGCTCCTACATAGGAAGGAGATTGGTTACAAAAGCCAAGCTTACCTTGGGTGGCAATGTATGCATTATTTTTCTGGTAACCCTGTCATTAAAAAAATAAGTCAAATATTCAGATTCTATAATCAGCAGTATATGTCATACTTACTACATGTACAATGTAAAGTACAGACCCAGCGTAACTTAACATTTACCTAACTTTACATGCAGCTCGATCGTTTTTTAAACCCATCATATATCTAAATTATGCCAAATATATCTCATATACTAGTAAGAAGTGGGTCAATACTACAAGAAATAAGTTGGAAATTTTGATAACAATTGTAGGTTTTCTAAAGAGGCAAAGCGAGTTGATAGCCAGCTCTGGAGTTAAATTACGCTCTGACTGTAATTTATATTGTCAATATTGAATCTTAACAATTCTAATAATGTAGGTACTCACATCAATATAGTTAGCATTGATATAATCCGAATTGGGGTCATCGTTAATCACATCCAATACCACTCTAGAATGATCATCTATATTGAAAAATTAAATAAAGTTAATCAAAAGAAACACAAACTAACCACTAGATAAGACTACCTGCATATACATGTACGGCAGAGATGCATAACCAGATGACTAGTATGTTTTGGCACAGTTTCACTGAATTTATTATGTTGAATATTGAAAATATCAATGATATATGTGGCTGTAAAGTGACATACTATGTTTAGGCAACATGTTTCATCAAATATTTAGAAAAAAACATACAAGTGAGAGGTATTGAAACAAAAAAAAATCAGTTAATAACATAATTTCGCTTTATTCACAGTGCAAGCAAAGTAAAAAAAAAAAACAACCAATAAAAACCCAAACGCACAAAGAAGTGTTCTCCCTAAACAACCTATATACTCACAAGAAAGAACATTACGAAATCTGTTCTTTGATTTGTTCTCTGGAATCCTGGCAGCTTCATAGGAAATTTCCGTATTTTCGCTTTTAGGCAACAACTGAAAATAAAAAATAACATTTAAGATGTCAGTAATTGTTACCATTCTAATATTATATCTATGTATATATAAGACATATCGTGGATTTCATATATGAAATATTCCAGACTGCCTATGTACCAAGTGACATTTGAATACGTTAATCAATATTTCAAGCATAGACTAATCAGAACTGTAAACCAAATTTAAACTCTTAATATGTATGGACATGACTCTAACACTAATTATGTCTGCACATTACTCCAAGCTCAGAGGTTTTAAGATTTTGCTGAAATAAAATAATTTTCTCAATTTCTGACAACAGATTCTATGATGTCATACTTTACCCATAATCCTTTGCTTGAGAATCAAAATGGCTGACTACATAATACCGATGAAAAGTTGAATATCTAGAGAATGAAAACTGATATAAAAAAGTGTAAATTGCATTCTCCTACATTTGTGGAGCTTTTTCTTTAGGGGTCATTATGTTGTTTGGATTGAGGTTCCCTTTAATATCTAAATTAACTACTTAATATGCATGGACATCGCCCTATTATCACAAGGTACCAAATTTGATCATTTTTGAAATTTTGCAAGCATATGAAGTAACATAATCAATATGCAAATTAGCTATTTATTATGCACTGACATGGTTCAAAAACTAAATTTGTCTGTATTATCACAATGTACAAATGTACTAAATTTGAGCAAAATCCATTCATCAGTTTTAAGATTATGCATACACAGTCCCAAATGAAATAATTATAATGCACAGACAAGACCCCAAACTAAAGTCTGCATATTCACTCAAGGAACTTGTATACTAAATTTGATAAAAATTCGCAGAGAACTTTTTGAGATTTTCCTTTAAAAGGCTGAAATGAGATAATTAGCTATTTAATATGCACAGACATGACCCTAAAAGCTATCCATGACTGTGAATGACACCTTGGTACCTAAAGTATACACTAAATGTAGTTTGTTCAAACTCCCATCAGAATTAAGTTTTTGAGTCGATAAAAGAAATTAATAATAAACTAATAGTAGTTACTCAAAATATAATGCATTTTCTTAACAGAAATACAATCAAAGTCAGCTATAGCTGTATGAACAACATCAAAGATACCATCAACAAGAAAAACAAACACCAACTCGCGACCGAAAATAACACTATGACTGACGAAACGAAAGCTAACAAGTTATGCAATTGCCAGAAAAAAACACAAAAAAAACATGTCCACTAGACGGGAAGTGTTTGCAGTCTGGCATCGTATACAAAGCGGATGTTACGCGTTTAGACAAACACACCAGCGAAACGTACGTCGGACTTACTGGTAATGAGTTCAAAACAAGATACAGAAACCACACGGCCTCATTTCGCAACCACGGCTCCAGAAGTGCAACGGAACTAAGTAAACACGTCTGGTCATTCAAAGAGAAATATTTTGAATATAAAATACAATGGAAAATTCTTGCTCGCTGTAGCCCGTATAATTGCTCCAGCATTTTGTGTTTGGAGAAAAATTTATCATAATTTTTAGACCCCACCACTAAACAAAAGAGTGAGGTACTTGTACCTTACAAAACAGTGCTGTCGAGTTTCAATATTCATGTAGTTGCGTATTAACTAAAGTATACACTAAATGTAGTTTGTTCAAATTCCCATCAGAATTAAGTTTTCGAGTCGATAAAAGAAATTAATAATAAACTAATAGTAGTTACTCAAAATATAATGCATATTCTTCAGCTGATTCTAAGCATGTTTATAGGCAACGTATTTTAAATGCATTATAATTAGTTATAAATAAATGTATATAAAATGCATTATATTCTATTCCGATTTGGTAAAGATACTCCAAACTTTGTATAAGATTATATCCTGATATTATATACATGGTAATAAAATATAGCATACCTTAAATTGTGCAACAAAATCGTTTTCTTCTCGTTTCTTAATAACATAATCAGCCAAATCTTTAACTTGAATTGTGTACTGCGAGTTATGTATTGGCTTGGCTTTAGGTTTTGGCTTTGGAGGAAGACTCCTTGGCTTGGTTGGTTCGGTTGGTTCAGGAGTTGGCACTTTTGTTGGCGTGATAGTTATATTCATATATTGAGATTCACCAGTTTCTTTATCTGTGAAAGGTGTAATATTATCTATGTAGGAAAGATTAACAAGAACAATAATTTAGCAGTAAGGTCACACAAAGTGTAACGAGAACATAAACAAAGAAAAGAATTGAGAGATCATAATTAACACAATTAACAAATAATACAACAATAGGCCTCTAAAAATGAAGAAATGAACCTGTAGTACGTATATATATAATATCATAACAACCGGACTTTCGGTTTCCAACAGGAGGTCAAAAATATAACTTTTTAGCAACAATTATAAAAATATTTATGTAGATACGAAAGTCGATTATTCCAAAACAAAAGTGCTCAATACAAAGTATATGTAGAACGGGTAGAATACGGTGATATAGGAATTAATACGCAACTACACGAGTATTGAAACTCGACAGCACCGACAGTACCTCACACACTATAATATCCCGGATGAAGAAATAAACATCATCGCCCACGCCAAACAAACGTTGTTAATACACAATCAATCGTACTTGTACCTTACAAAACAGTGCTGTCGAGTTTCAATATTCATGTAGTTGCGTATTAATTCCTCTCTCTCTACATATATATATATAATATGTAAGCAATCGGAATTGCGGTTTTCAACAAGTCAAAAATATAACTTTTTACAAAAAATGACAAAACAAATCATCGAAATTAGGGAGTTGAAGATATCGTTATAAATATGAACAAATTCGACGGAGGTACAGTGTGTATACCTATATGTATAGTATCAAAGCAATCGGACTTGCTGTTTTCGACAAGAAATCAGAAAGATCACTTCTTACCAAAAATATTGACCAAAATTAGAGAATTAAAGATTTCATCAAGATGTAGTCAAAAAAGTAAAAATATTGATATAGACGCCAGACAGTCATTCATATGACAAAGTCGACAACGGAGCAAAAATAGATTGAAACAATGTATATATACTATATAAACAATGCCAAGGGTTGGATGAATTAATCACAGTGAAAAATCACAATGTCCAGGATATTTTAACATGGGCAACGATCTTACCCCTTTCTGAGCTTGTTATCATAGTATCCACATTTACATAAGCATTCTCTGATAGTACATTGTGGCCACTTGCTTCATGTTCATTACTTCTTTTCTGTTTTCTTAGACGCCTAATATTTAATAACAAAGAAAAACGAACATCAACACTGCAATATTATATTATGCAATATTAAATAAATAACACATTACATTACATTACATGTGACAGTAATTTTCACTTTTATTAAATTAATAGTTCATAATACTAACAGTCAATACTACCAACAACTTGCCAAAAAATTCTAAAAGATTGACAAATTACAATAAACATATCGGCCATAATGATACACATGGGAGAGCTATTTTGACTATTTTGGTTATTATGAGAATCATACAGTGATTATATCAACAGTAGCTATCAAAAGTTGGTGCAGTCGTATACTGCATGGCTGAGTCTATACGTGCATGTGCTATATTCTCGTAATGATTTCATGTTTATACCTCTTTCTGCTTGTAGTTATAATTAATAATTTAACTGCTCAAACTGTCAGTGTAATCATCTACATTTAGTGATAAAATGCTATTGTTGCTCTATCCAATGTAAACAAAAATTAAGTATTTGAATGTTCGTACATATTTTATAGATGTAGTAGTGTTAGTGTAATGAAATACATGTAATTATATTATCAGAAGCGTCATGCTTAACCATTTCAACCTTTATATTTTATGAAAACCGCGACTTTACCCTAAACAAGCGACCTTGCGGTTGGTAGAGCTCCACTGTAATTGACAAGTACAGAGGGCAGTTACTAGGTGGACAGGAGAAGTGGAATCTATGAAATTTTAGTAATTGTGGCAAT